ATGGCAGAGCGCGGCTGTTCACCAGTGAGAACGGGTTCGTGCAGGGGCTCACCCCGGCCCTCAGCAGCTCCCGTGCTAAGGGCAGAGGAGAGCGAGCAGGGCGCCCTGCTACACATGTGGGCTGGGACTGCCAGGGGCTTGAGGGACAGCGGTGTCCACGGCTCCAGCAGCTTCTGCTAAAACACCTCCCAAGCGTTCCAGCGATGCTGTGAGGCTGGTGGCAGAGGAGCATCCCCATGGGGAAGCCTGCAGAGAGTTCAGCCCACGGGTGTATCCATGAGCATCTCCAGTCAACAAACCTGGACATAAACCAACCTCACCGAGGTCATCACATATTGGCCGTTCCCGCAGCTGCCTCTATCATTTCTCAACTAATGAGGCTGTTGTTTTCCCTGCTGCGTTCAGAGCCACATCTGTGCTGAATATTTTAAAGACCGCAGCACGACTGCAAATAGGGCAGGCTATTTCTGGAGCTACTGTAAATGAATCAAAAAACAACTGCAAACAGAACGTCAGCATTTCACAAAGAACCGTGGTTAATATTCCTCCTCGATGGATGCCTCAACAAAAGCTGTTTTCTGCCGAGGCAACGTTTCATGGTTTATAACGAATTGGCATGAAACACGAGTGAACACAAAATGTTAAAGGATTAAGTGCAACCTTGGTAACAAAAAAAGACATGAAAGATGCATCTATTAAAAAAACTGCTTCTATTATTAAAAGTGCCATCAATTAAATGAAAAATATATTGAACTAGAATCAAACAAATTCTTTTCTCTGTGTCAAGTTTACCCAAGAAAGGATCAACAGCAAGCTTTCCGCATGCCAGTGTTTCTCTACAGGGTAAACACCACTGATAATAAGCACCCCCGGATGCTTGCGAAACCACGCGAGCAGAGGGAGATGTCCCTGGAGGAATCCTGTCGTGCTGGTAAGGAAAGTGTATTTTTGCCAACAGAAATCACACTGATGCTCTGGCTTCTGCTGCTACGGCGGCGTTTGTCAGAGCTCGCTGCCCCTGCCCACCCCCCCTGCCACGG